CTGAATGTACATAAGTTTATGGAACCAGATAAGATGCATCCCAGAATCCTGAGGGAATAGGCTGATGCAGTTGCCAAGCTATTCTCCGTGATATTGGAAAAACCATGGCAGTCAAGTGAAGTCCCAGAGAAGTGTCTCTGTGGCCCAGAAGATCATGGAACAGCTCCTCCTAGAAGATGTGCTAAGGCACATGGAGGAGAAGCAGGTGATTTGAAACAACCAGAACAGCTTCACCAAGGGCAAGTCGTGCCTGACCAACCTACTGTCCTTCTGGGAATGACTACATCAGTGGACAAAGGAAAGATTTCAGACGTTGTTTATCTGGACTTCTGTAAAGCCTTTGACATGGTCCCCCACAACATTCTTCTCCCTAAATTGGAGAGATGAATTTGATAGATGGACTGTTAGATGTATTAGAAAGTGGTTAGATGGTTGCATCCAGAGGGTAGCGGTCAATACCTCAGAGTCCAGATGGACATCAGAGACAAGTAGAATCCCTCAAGGGTCCATATTGGGATCAGTATTATTTAATATCCTTGTTAATGACATAGACAAAGGTGAATCCTCAGCAAGTTTGCAGATGACACCAAGCCAAGGTTTGTCAACCTTGTGTGGTTGACAAACAAGGAATCAGACCCAGACAGCATGGATTTAGGAAAGGTCCAGCCTGACCAACCTGATCTCCTTTCATGACTAGGTGACCTGCCTGGTGGATAAGGGGAAGGCTGTACATGTAGTATACCTGGACTTCAGCAAAGCCTTTGACATATCGCCCATAGCATACTCCTGGAAAAGCTGGTAGTCCACAGCTTGGACAAGTGCACTCTTCTCTGGGTTAAAAACTGGCCAGAGAGTGATGGTGAATGGCACTGCATCCAATTGGCATCCAGTCATTAGTGGTGTCCCACAAGGATCAGTGTTGGGCCCAGTTTTGCTTAATATCTTTATTGATGACCTGGATGAGAGGATTGAGTCTACCATTAGCAAATTTGCAGACGACACCAAGCTGGGCAAGAGTATCAATTGGTGGGGGGTGTTGGAGGGTAGGAAGGCTCTGCAGAGCAACCTGGACAGACTAGAATAGATGAGCCAAGACCAGTGGCATAAGGTTCAACAAGACCAAGTGCTAGATGCAGTGCTACAGCCTGTGCAGAATGGCCACCCCGGGGCTTAGCGCATGCACATCCAACACCCTCAGGCTACATGTTGGGTGTTGAATAAGGACAAGAGGAGAGTGTCTTAAACTGTGTCAGGGGAGATTTAGGTTGGATATTAAGAAGCATTTCTTCACAGAAAAGGTGATTAGATACTGAAATGGGCTGCCCAGGTGATGGAGTCACTGTTCCTGGAGGTGTTTAAGGAAAGACTGGATGTGGCACTTAGTGGCATGGTCCAGTTGACATGGTGATGTTAGGTCATAGGTTGGACTCAATGATCTCAGGGGTCTTTTGCAAACTAATTTATCCTGTAATTCTGTAACGTGCACTTGCAGCCCAGAAAGCCAACCGTATCCTGGGCTGTATAAAAAGCAGCATGGCCAGCAGATTGAGGGAGGTGATTCTGTCCCTCTGCTCCACTGTGGTGAGATCCCACCTGGCGTATTGCATTCAGCTCTGGGGTCCGCAGCACAGGGAAGACACTGACCTGTTGGAGAGAGTCCAGAGGAGGGCCACCAAGATGACTAGAGGGATAGAGCTCCATTCCTATGAGGAAAGCCTGAGAGAACTGGGATTGTTCAGCCTGAAAAAAGAGAAGGCTTTGGGATGACCTAATCGCAGCCTTCCAGCACCTGAAGAAAGACAGAGAGAGACTATTTACAAGGGGAGATACTGACAGGACAAGAAGGAAGGACTTCAAACTGAAAGACAGTAGGTTTAGATTAGATATATGAAAAAATTCTTCACTCTGAGAGTGGTGAGGCACTGGAACAGGTTGCCCAGAGAAGTTGTGGATGCCCCATCCCTGTGACTGTTCAAGGACAGGTTGGATGGGGCTTTGAGCAACCTGGTCTACTGGAAGGTGTCCCTGCCCATGGCAGTGGGGTTGGAATCAGATGGTCTTTCAGGTTCCTTCCAAGTATAATACAATTCTATGATTCTAGTAACTCAACTTATTGCATGTTCTGCTGCTGACTAGACTTTTCAACTCATACAAAACTGAGCACAATAAATATTATCACCCTCAGTGCATGGAAGAAACAGCAAACTGTAGAGATTGATAAGATATTTCAGACTGACATAACTGGAGAAAAAAACATTTTTTCTTAGACAAAAAGGATTTTCTGTTATGTTCCTGGCCCTAAAAACTTCCCTACTAAAATGTACTTGGCAGCTATCTTGATTTTACAATAATGCAATTTGTATTCATCAAAATTTGACATTTATTATTGAAGCTGGCAGCTATCGTAATTTAAAAACCCTGTAAGCTAATAATTTTAAATGTGATATTTGATGTGTTTAATGTATGAAAAGTCTATTATTTGGTAATTTGGCATGTTTGCAATAATGGTCACTCTAGGAGTTATTTTAGTGAATATTAACTGTTATTATATGTTTTAGAACTGTTGCTAATTTAAACTTATAAATAATTTAAGGAATAATTGCAAATAAAATTCTCCATGCCTATTAATGTGGAAATTGAAACTAGTAACTCAGTCTGTGTCTTTATTCAGTTGCCTATCAAATTCCGTTCCCATTTGCTTGTCCAACTGTCCCTTCTGTTCCTTCCCTGTTCCTTTCCTGTTCCTTCTGTTTTATGTATTTCTGCAAACGTACTTGTTCAGAGAGTGGGACTAGTAGTTTTGGATGCTTCGGTGTCTGCATTTAGTATATGAAGTAAAATGTTTCAGTACCTGAAACTCTACGGCTAAGCTGATCTTTTAAGAATACATCTGAATGCCTTTCCTGCCCAAGGAAATGCATATTACTGTTGAATTCACATCAGCTAGCTCTAATGAGATATGACAATGAAAAATGAGGATGTCTTTGTTCAGATGGGAACTCAGTTTGTCTTTTAACCTCACTGTAGTTCCATACTGAACAATTTAAAGCAATCCCAGTCCTGTGTCCCAAGTTTTTCCTTCCTTTTATCTAGAAATAAAGTTTTTCTTCCAGTAAGACAAACTCCATAATTAAAAATAAAACTGATGACTTTTTTTTTTCTCAAATTATTGTAGGGCCATAGAATCAATTAGGTTGGAAAAGACTTCTAAGATCGAGTCCAATTGTTAACCGAGCACTGCCAAGTCCACCACTAAAACACATCCCCGAGTGCCATATCCACATGTCTTTTAAATACCTCCAGGGATGGTGGCTCACCACTGCCCTGGCCATCCTGTTCCAATGCTTGATAACCCTTCCCTGGTGCAACTCAAGGCCATTTCCTCCTGTCCTGTCATAGCCTGGGAGGAGGTTGACCTGCACCAGGCTACAACCTCCTTTCAGGTAGTTATAGTGAGGTCTCCCCTCAGTCTTTTTTTCTCCAGGTTAAACAACCCCAGGTCCCTCAACCACTCCCTATACAACTTGTGCTCCAGCCCCTTCACCAGCTTCATTGCCCTTCTCTGGACAAGCTCCAGGTCCTCAATGTCTTTCTTGCTGTGAGAGGCCCAGAAAAAAACATAGGATTTGAGATGCAGCCTAACGAGTGCCAAGTACAGTGGGATGATCACTGCCCTGGTCCTTCTGGCCACACTATTCTTGATATAGGCCAGGATGCCATTTACCTTCTTGGCACACTGCTGGCTCTTGTTTAGGTGTGGTTGACCAATACCTCCAGATCTCTTTCTGCCAGGAAGCTTTCCAGCCACTTTTCCGCATTGTGTAGAGCTGCATGGGGTTATTGTGACCCAAGTGCAGGACCTGACCTTTGGCATTGGTAAATCTCATACAACTGGCCTCAACCAATCAATCCAGCCTGTCCAGATCCCTCTGCAGAGCCTTCCTGTCCTCCAGCAGTTCAACACTCCCACCCAACTTGGTGTTGTCTGCGTATTGAAACTATTCGCATAGACAATAAATTAAGGATGACTTTTCAGTTGGCAATTTCATTACATCAGCTTCCTAAAGGTATAATGAAATTGTTCTGAAATGCAACAGTAATAAGAGCTCAGAAAATGTGATGCAATTAGCATCTGTATTTATATTTATGTGTCATGAATGCAAGAAAGGTAACAAGTGGGATTTTGTACAGCTGTACTGGAAATTACTGAAACTTTCGCTAGGAAGTCAGAATAACACTTGTGAAAACAGAGTAACTCACTGCCCAAGTGCAGACATAAAAATTAGAAGAATGTCTTAAATAAGTGTTTGAATATGTTTTGTATCTTAAATATAACACAAATAGCTGTGTGAAAGCAGATTAATTACATTTAAATTTAGACACACATATATGTCTCTATATACCTAAAATATGTCTATACATCTTTGTGCGTATCTCTACATGCCTGTGTGTATATATGTAGTGATTTGTGCCCTTGGGCTACTGCTTTACAAATAAATGCACAATGATTGAAAATAGCCTGCACAAATTGGAAAATGCACCACAGATTAAGAGCAAGCAAGCTGAAAATGTTTACTTTTGCAGTAGTAGTAATGCTGATACAGCTGTGTCAATAAGGATGTAATTCTATTACGTTTTATAGCTATAGCTAATATATTTTGTAGCTGGATAGAGTTACAGAGCAATATTTAAAATTAGCACATCCACCTAGTATGATCATATTTTGATACTATTATACCTTGTGTGGACAAAATACATAAGCTTTGTCAGGAAATAGCATTCCTAGTTTCACTCAAAATTATTTGACTACAATTATCTTCTGTATGAAGAATACTCTCTAGGCAGAAATGTCTGGTAGTGAGCAATTGTTGCAAAATACATAACATTATTTACTCAGATAAGAATACTTAGGTACTTTCACTTGAACTGCATGCTGGTTGAAGAAATATAAACAGAGGCTAATGAGCAATGGCAAAATGTGAATTTGCTGAAAGGCTTTTACTGGAATAAATGAAATCTCTGTGATGTCTCTTCTTCTAATCTTCAATATCTAAAAGAACAAAGAGCATATTAATGGAATTCAGTCATAATCAGTCTGATATTGCATGGAAAGGAATATTAAACACAGCTGAAGCAGAGATAAAATAAAGGGATGTGATGTTAGAAATCTGGTAGTAAGCAGTAATAAGAAGTCAGACATAAAAATAATGCAAGATAACATATATACAGCAAGATTGAAATAAGGTCACTGCTGAAGTAGGTTTCATCATGCTGGATACTACTAGAAGGTATTGAGGCAACATGAAATGTGATACTAGTCACCCAGAGGAAGCATATAAACACAGGGATACGCTTTCCACAAAGAAGGGAAAGAACAGTAGAAGAGAAACATACCAATGTTGAACCTGTGTTCAAGATATCATTTCAGAAACTGTCAGTTCAGTGTGATTCTGTAAATGCAGAATTAGACAATGAACAATACGTGTTGATTTTTTTTTCAACAACAGACAGACAGAGCTCATCTGCACAGCTATTTTTCCGCTGTTGCTCTGATCTATGAAGATTATGAGCTCTTCAGAACACGGACTGCATTTTTGCAGAAATTTCGAGTGTAGTAAGGTTTCCAAGATGCTATCATATCATTACCATAGGTGTCAATAATTATGCTTCAATGTGATTTCTTCCTCATACATTATCACAGTATTACCTAATGATAGCTTTGATACTGCAAATGCCCATAAAATGAACCGGTTGCTGATTTAACATACTTGATATTTTTTTAAAATGCTCATTGTATGTACCTCTAAATATTCATTTTTTGATGTTTGTACTTGCCATGTAGCAAAAGCCTTTTTGCTTTTGAGTAGATTGGTAGTTTTTTTCATTGCAAACCAATTTCTGAGTATTCAAAAATTGTTCCTGTTTGACATTGGGTTTAAATCAAACCCTTTTGCAATTAAAATTATAGTTAGTAAAATAGAGAGCAAATGCAGGATGCTGGAGGTCAGCCATCATCAGGACAACTATTTGGGCTATGGAAAAAAGAGTTTCAAGTTCCTCCCCTGTTAAGTTTGGAGATATTTATTCTGCAGGTATATCTCTTCACTGACTATTCTGAAATGGAAATCTTTCTTGTTAGAGATCTTCACAATTCCACAAATAGAAAGAAGACTAGCTGTGTCCAAAGGGTAGCAAAAAAATGGTACCCTGCCAGGCTAAAGTTGAACTAGGTCAGGACTTCACAAGATTTTTTGCTCATGTTCGACTCCCACACATCCATTTTGGTTTCATTCATTGTTTGGCTTCCCCCCAACTGCTTCCTGGACTCCTGTAGACATATGATGGATAACCTGGGACATCTAAACTGCTCCTTGATGTTTAATTTTGGACAACTGACAGCCTCTCTTACAACTCAGAATAGCAGCTTACTCATTGTGCTAAAATCTTTTCTAATGTAGCACTGATTTGGACTGTGATGTTCCTCAGAATTCTATCTTAGAAATATCTGAACTTTTCTTACTCAATCTTCTGGCAAAACTGGTGAATTTTTACCCAAATATATATTCAAATAATTAATTACCGTAAAGAAACAAAGAAAAAAACTCCTTCACACACAGTTCCAGTGGATAGAGCAAAGCAAATAAACTTATGAGGTTTCTTCATAGCTTCTTTCTTTCTTCTCTGCACCTATTTACTGAAACATCTGCAATAGGAAAAAATCATCCACAATAATTTAATAAGTGACATTTAAATATATGAGGTATTTCAACTGTCTAGTAAACACTCAGGGTTTTCGGCTGTTTTGTTTCCCACTGTAAGGCTAGAATGTCAGAGAAATGCTCTGAATTAAAGCTTTAACAGAAAATCATACAATTATATTAGAAGACACTTAAAAAATGTTAAACATATTTTTCCCAATAGCCCAGGTTTCCATTTCTTTTATTTCCCCGCATAAATGATCTTAATGCAACTTACAAAAAAGTAGAGGTCACAATCCAGACCACAGCAAAAAGAACATCAGCCTGCAGCATTAGGCCTATAGGAATGGCATATAGGCTGCTAAATTTTTTCTGCATAAACGGTTTATGCAGTCTCCAGATTCAAACTATTTTTTTGTCCTTTTTTTGCTAGATGAAATCTTTTTAGTACTTATTCTCTGTAATCTGATATTTGGGGAAATATCTGAGTGATTTATTATGAGCTCCTTATTAATGACCCATAGTAATGCACAATGTCACAGTAGAGGGCAGGACAGTGTCTGCCAAGCAGCATGTCTGCAGGAGTCAGGTCTGCCAGGGAGAAACATACGGTAAATGCACATGTCAATGTGGCAAACATATTCTGAAAATAAAATGGAATCAAGTATATTACAAAACAAAATGAATAGCTGGCTATAGCACTGGAATAGGACTAAAGACCTTTCTCTACCAAATGACATCTAACAAGATGTCTTTCTTTTTTTTTTAATTTTTTTTTTTTTTTTTTTTACTTCTATGGGAAAAAAATTACCATGAGACTTATAAACGTAAGTAATTATAGGTAGCAAAAAAAGACAAATGTCAGTTCTATTGAAATAAATACAAGTGTCATCTTGAAAACACAGGAAGCTATCTTTGTCCTGTTCTGCACCATAATTCAAGGAACACACTTGGGCATCATACCTCAAGAAGAGTTTTGATCAACTAGATAAATTAATGTGAGCCCTGAGATTTGAAAAAGATATTAAGAAGATTGAAAGGATAGAATTACTTATTTGGAAAAGACTAATCAAGGATAAGATAATAACCTTCAGTCATGTAGACTGCTGCTATGAAAAGAAAGTGTTCCATGTCCTGATCCTGAACACAGTAAGAAGTGTGAATGAGAATCTTCACAAAAAGAAATAAATTCTAGAACATTTCTAACAAAGTTGACTACAGAACTTGTTATGAAGAGGAATAGAGACAATATTACATATCCCAGACTGACTGAATTACAGTTCTTCATCAAGATCTTATCCCTCATACAGATATTAGTTATCATTCTATCACCTTCCAGAAAGGGGTTTATAGCATGCCCAACCCCAATTTGAGTCCTGGGTTATAGATCCCAGGATAACAGATGTCATCAAATCTAGCCTGGGATGTCTGTTTGAAAATATCTTATCAAAATGGCTTTAAACCATCTTCATCAAATTGAGGCATTATAATTTTTTTCATTCAGTGGTTCAAAGCATGTTCCTGTCAGCTGTTTCTGATTCATCCTACATGGCTTACCTTACCCTACCCCCACAGAACCCCAGAGGCTGTTTTTCAAACAGATCACTTTCCCTCTTCTCAGTCTTGACTGAAATCATAAAGCGGAATTGCACAGGCTCCCATTGATAGGATCCTTATGACAGGAAGAAAAAGGGGTTTCTTAAGTTTGGATGAACCCAAGATTTTTAAATCTTTCTTGGAGGAGACGAAAGTGTGAAAGGAGTCCAGAGTCACCAGTTTCAAAAGTAGAAATGCCCCTTAAAAAGTAGCCTTGATGAAACAATTTCCAGGACAAAACATTTTTTATTGATGAATTATCAAATCTCCTGAGATGTCTTACACAGCTATATATCTGGCAATGTTGCCTTTGGGGATACTTCTGATTAGATTATTATTTTACTTTTTGCCTTCAGTCTAACAGTACTTTCATGCTCCTTTAGCATAAATGATATATAAGCAGGTGGTCAGCAACACAAGAAGCAAATAGAACCAGATATAGTGTTCAGAAATTAAAATTCAGAAATTTTCAAAATTCATGATTGACACTGAAGAAATTAATTCTATTTTAATAATTTTAAAGATTTTTTTTTTCCACTTCCTTCCTAAATAAAATAGAAATAAATTTAGATCTTCAATATCTGCACAGACCACAAGGTGTTAATAGTTTAATTTTTTTCAAGTAAAAGAAATAGTAATCCAGGAAACATTTGAGACTGAAAATACTAATCAATGCTGCCAGCAGAAAAAGGCAGAGACAAAGGAATTTTAAGATCAGAAGCAACAGGAAATCAGTGATCAGACAGGAGGGGTATGATGGACAGTTTGAGGTGAGCATGAGTAGAAGGAAGGGAAAGGCATTGCTTAAAATCCAGCCACCAGATTAAGAAGAGGAAGAAAGTGCTTTTATTTTCTTTGAGTGACTGTAGCATTTCTCTCAAGAGTGCTATAACTTCCTGAGGACATTGCAGAAGCTGCATACAACAAACTGATCATCAGGGAAGAAAGTTTGTAATATGGCACCTCCACTCTACATTGTCATAACAACAAATAGGTTTTATCAATTTGAATATAAGATGCAATTTTATAAGACTGCTAATCACGTGGAATTTCTACAAAGGACCATTTTGTTTGAATCCTTGAGTGTTTCTTATACTTAAATTACACTGTGGTTTAAAGTAAGCAGAAAAACTTTCTGCTGCTTCTTTTATACCATATGAGGATGTAAAAGACTTTTAGAAAACCTCCCAGTCTTGGTTTCCAGCTATCAGGAGATGAAAAACCTGTCAGTAGCACTGATAGTTTTTCTTCCATAATTGATGAACAGGAACAACTTATTTCCAATGTGAGTATCTAGTTACAATTTCCAACTACTGGTTCTTGTTACAATGTCTTGCACTAGATAAAAGAGCTCTGTAGTACTTAATGTATTTTTTTCTGTGAAGGTACTTACACATTGTAATCAAATCACCTCACAATCTTCTTTTTGATATGTTCTATATTTCACTTTAAGGTACTTTCTCTAATGGTTTCATGATTTTTGCTAATCTTTTTTTCATTAACTTTCCACAACTTTTATCCTTTTTTAAAAATATCTAAAGACCAGAATTATAGGGAATATCCTGATAGCACTCCCCACAATGGCAAAATCAACTATAGGCTCTAATTAAATTTTCTGTTCCTCCTCCAAGAAGCTGGTTATCTTGCTACTAGGACTCAGATCTTTTGAATCTCTTCTTTTCAGGAAAAAAATCTTATTCTACAAACTCCAATATTAAATTAATATCTTTCTATCTGGCTGCATTAGAAATAGTTCATTTGAATACAACTGGTTTATCAAGCTATTCAGATTACTTTATGGCACCTACATTCTTATTATTATTTACCATTGTGATAAATTTTGTGCCTCTCGCATATTTTATTACTGGTGATTACATAATTCGTTCCTTATTATGTGTCACTGGACAGTGTCCTGTTCCCTGGGGAACCTCATTCTCCTGTCTAGTAAAGACTAACCACTGATGCCTTATTTTTAAGTCAGTTAACCAGTTCTTGATCCAGTCAGCATAGTATACTCTATGATACCATACTGTGTCTACTATGTGTATTTATTTAACAGTGAAAATTAATGGCCTGGAAATTTTAAAAGTGCTTTCAACTTCAAATTGCTCTAGCCTACCTTCAGCAATGACTGGTCTCTTCATTAAGGAGACATCAGAAATCGTGCTTACATGGAGTCCTTCTGCTCTAGAAGATAATCTATCATTACAACTCCATAATACCTTGTTTTCAGCCAAACAAAGTTGACACTAACAACATAGAGTACAACTGACATTCCAGCTTTCCTGCTTTTCCCTCCATGGGATGAAAATAACTGCTAAGAAAATATTCTACCTAAAAATTTTTCCAGTGTCTTGAAAATCTGGAATTGTCTCTGCATTTTGATGTAATATTCCTCTTATCTATTCCAACAAATTATTACCAGCAATTTTCTAAACCACCTTACAATTCTTATCAGTCTTGCAATTATATCTCCTCTAGTTTGTATTGAGGGAGACAATATACAATAATCAATGTACCAAAGAGCTCCTCTGTCTCTCAGCAACAAGGATCGGACCCCATCTTCAAATTCTTTTGGATTAACTGTACTTTTTCAAGTGGTAGTGTGTAGTATAAGAAATATTGCCTGCCAATATAACCTCTCAGAAATGCATCACCCTTCAACTTAGTGAGTGAAAGAAACACTAAGAAAAAAAGGGGACTGAACAGAAAATTCAGAAAATTGAAAATCTGTTCCTACATCTAAATGTTAAAGTAATAATTTAAAAAATCTTTTAGGAATATTCTAGCTGCAGTCATTGCAATTAATGATTTTTCAGACTGCCATCATATTTATTTGTACTGGCATATTGGGTCTGGCTGAGATGGTGTTCCTTTCCCCATTAATAGCCCCTGTTGTGCTTTGCATTGGTAGCTAGAAGGGTGTTGATAACACACCAGTGTTTTGGCTACTGCTCAGCACAGCATCAGCACTGTAACATTCCTTCCTCAATCAAGGGCAAGATCCTAGGAAGGGACCCAAGCAGGCCAAAGCTGACCCAAACTGACCAAAGGGATATTCCATATCATATGACATCAGCTCAGGTATCAAAGCTGAGGCAAGGAGTAGGAAGGCAGGCATTCATTGTCTCCAATGTCTGCCTGCTGAGGAACTGTCACGTGTGCTGAAGCCCTGCTTCACACAGGCCAACTGTCGCTGCTGATGAGAAGTAGAGAATAAACTGTATTATTTTTTGCTTTGCTTTTGCATGGGCAAGAGTTTGCTTTGCTTTTGCTTTAAATAAATTGCCTTATCCCAACCCACGAGTTGTTGTCCATCGTACTCTCTCCCCTGTCCGGCTGGGAAGGGGAGTGATAGAGCAGTTGGGTGGGCACCTGGCATCCAGTCAAGGTCAACCAACCACAACTACTTTTTTGGAGGCTGTAGAGTCTGTTTATTTTATAAAAGCTGTCCTTGACATACTCGTTGTATATCTTCTAATCCAATTCTGTAATTTGTTTTATTCTATTTAACTCTTGTTGTAAAAACTGCTCAAAAAACTGCTTCCATTTCATAAGGGACCAGAATAATTTCACATGTGGATACATATTCAGTTTGTAAAGTGTTGTAGTGATACTGGTTCTGCTGTTGGGTGACATTTCCCTAGTTTCTTTCCTGCTCCATCTTGCTTTCAGAAGGTTTTCTTCTTTCATACTTACAGTAGCTAAAAACTTCTCTTTATTCATTTAATGAAAAAAACATTCACCGACTGCCATATATGGGAAGGTTATAGAAGTTTTGTATTGATCTATGTCTTCATAGCAAGAAAAGATATCAGGCTCTCCTAGAAGACTATGTCACTGCCTTAGCAGAGGTCTTTCATCTCCTTTCTCATAGGGTAAGTAAAAAAAATCTTAGTAGACTTCATGGGAGTCCTGAGCTCTAAAGTATATAACTATGTATAATTATCAATAGGTTGAACAAATTGTCACTGCTGGTTTTATGTAGAATCACAGAATATTCTGAGTTGGAAGGGACACACAAGGATGATAGAGTACAACTCCTAGGTGAATGGCCCATACAGGGGATTGAAACCATGACCTTGGCATTATTAGCACTAAGTTTTAATCAACTGAGCTAATCTCAAGGTCTGTATAGTGTACTGAAATGTTCATGTAAAATTACATTAATCTTCTGCTTTTCATACTAATGAGTGAGATAACATTTTCCAATCTTCAGGTACATTTCCTGTTTTCAAATCAATTTAAGTAGACACTAGAAAAGATAATATATTATTATTTTTATTATTATTATTATTGCATTTTATTTTATTTCAATTATTAAACTATTCTTATGTCAAGCCAAGAGGTTTATCTTCTATTTCCGACTCTGCCCCCCCCCCGAGGAGGGAGGTAGGAGAGTGATTGTGGGGCATTTATTTGATGGCAGGGTTTAAAGCATGACAGTAGATAGAAAGAAAGCAAGAAAAAGAAGGAAGTCACTTCTTGTCAACCAGTGCTTGACAATCCTGTCCAGGGAGAAATTTTTCCTAATATCCAGTCTAAACTTCTCCTGGCACAACTTGAGGCCATTTTCTCTTGTCCTGTCTCCTGTTACTTGGAAGAAGAGGCCAACCACCACCTCATTACAAGTGTCAGGTAGCTGTAGAGAGTGATATTGCCCCCCCCAAGGTTCTTTTTATCCAGGTTAAACAACTTCAGTTCCTGCGGCTGCTCCTTGAAGGACTAGTACTCTAAAACCTTCACTGGCTTCATTGCCCTTCTCTGGACATTATTCCATCACCTCAATGTCCTTCTTGAAATGAGGGGCCCAGAACTGGACACAGGACTCGAGGTATGGCTCCACCAGTCCTGAATACAGCGGTAGGATCATTTCCGTGGTCCTTCTGGACATACTATTTTTGATACGGGCCAGGATACCATTGGCCTTCTTGGCCACTTGGGCACACTGCTGGGTCATTTTCAGCTGCTGTCGACCAGCACCCTCTGGTCATTTTCCACTGGGCAACTTTTCATCCACTCTTCCCCATACCTGTAGCACTGCACAGAGTTGTTGTGACCCACGTACACTTCACCTTGTTGAATCTCAAACAGTTGGAAAGTGCCAAAGCCACTCGATGCTGATATGGAGAAAGAGATAGGCAACAAAGTCAAGGGTTTTCAGACACTTAAGATCAGCAACTTAGGCAAAGAGTAGGCAAAGAATAAAGAGATAATTAATAAAAGCTTGCAGTTCTACATGCATTGCCATACCAAAGCATCATCATTCTCTTGACAGAAGGCCATAAGTGTGAGGGGAATGAGGAGGAGTGAGGGGAGATGCAGGGGGTGAGAGCTATCTGTACAGGGGTGTTCCTGAGTCCAGGAGCACCCAAAGAGCAGACCCACAACCTGGAAGCCCTCAGTAGCCAATCAGGAGAGGAGGGGGAAGTGCTGGGAGTGACCAAGAGAAATTTAAATTGTTGCAGAGAGCATAAGCAACGCAGAATAGGGCAGACAGGAGTGGGCAAATAGGGGTGTGGCATATAGTGAGAGTGTGGCACAGCAGTTTTCAAGACAGTTCATGCAGGCAGGACAAACTCCTCTCCGGCCATCCGGGAGTAGTCAATAGAGGCAGCAAACAGAGTCAGTAGCTGGTAAGGAAGAGGAAAGAGATCCTTTCAGTCCAAGTCTTCTTAACATACTAGCTTAAGCTTCCACAGTTGTGGTGTCTATATGCTCAATCTCTTAGAGCTGCAGGAGTCACTGAACCAGCCATGTGAGAGGCCTCCAGCCTGACAGATCTCTTGATGGCAGACACAGCTCTCCAGGTCACAGGCTGCCAGGAGTGCCTGATACCTTTTGCAGAAAGTGTGTTGTGGTTGAAGAACTGTGTTGCCAGGTGAAGCCTGTTCACTTCTTTCTGGATTCTGCACCTGGGATGGGGCAACCCTGGATGTTCATACAGACTGGGTAATGAGATGTTGGAAAGCAGTGCTGTGAAAAGGGACCTGGGGATGCTGGTTGATGGCAAATTGAATATGAGTCAGCAGTGCCCTGGCAGCCAGGAGGGCCAACCGTGTCCTGGGGAGCATAAGGCAAAGCATTGTCAGCCAGTCAAGGGAGGGGATTGTCCTGCTCTGCTCTGCAATGGGGCAGCCTCACCTTGAATATTGTGGGCAGTTTTGGTCACAATACAAGAAAGATATTAAGCTGTTAGAGCGTCCAAAGGAGGGCAGTGAAGATGGTGAAGGGCCTTGAGGGGAAGCCATATGAGGAACAGCTGAGGTCACTTGGTTTGTTCAGCCTGGAGGAGACTGAGGGGAGACCTCATTGCAGTCTACAACTTCCTTGTGAAGGGAAGAGGAGAGGCAGGCACTGATCTCTTTTCTGTGGTGATCAGTGACAGGATCCAAGGGAATGACCTGAGGTTCTATCAGGGGAGATTTAGATTGAATATTAGAAAAAAGTTCTTCACTCAGAGGGTGGTTGGACACTGGAACAGGTTCCCCAGGGAAGTGGTCACAGCACTAAACCTGACAGAGTTCAAGAAGCTTTTGGACAACGCTCTTGCGCACGTGGTGTGACTCTGAGGGATGGTCCTGTTCAGGGCCAGCAGTTGGGTCTCCTCCATCTTGGCATATTCTGTGATTCTTTGATTAAAACAGAACCTTGAGGTTCCTGAGGAAGTGGCATTTTTACTCAGAACAGGAATGCATAACAGGTAGTTGCTGTACAACATCGCACATTTCTGTAAGCACATAGAGTACAAAGAATAAAAAAAAATGAATTTTCCTTGGGTAGTTAGAAAGTTCCATCCTCAGTAATGGAACTGTGCTATTTCTAAGGATTCATAGTATTCACTAAATATTGGTATTTCCATAAGAGAATGTGAGGCAGTTTCAGTAAGTCTCTATTATAATGTATCTAGAAACTGCCTTTTGTTTTGGTTTTTAAATATTTTTCACCAAAAATTATTTCAGGAACCTTCCTCTGGAAAACATTAAGACATCTATTAATTCAAAAAGCCTTGATTTTCAGCAAAGTTATTTTCTTTATAGCAACATTTCACCTGAAGTAAAATATATTAACCTTTCTATCCCTCTCCTCTTTGTCTTCATAAGCTTCAGGAAAATGTTGCCATGAAATACTTAAAGCAACTCAGTTTACTGTGGGCTCATTTCAGCCCACCGTTAAGCAAGAGAAATTCTCCTAGAAGTTCAGAAATATTATGAACACTAAATAGTAACAGCAGTTGAAAAAAAATAAATTGGGGTTAGTATCCTCTTGTTCTCCCATTCTTTCCTGTGAAGGTGTTTAGAGACTGAAAACTAGTGGAGAGAGACTGTAGAACTAAAGTATCTTTCTTTTCATCATACTTTCTACCTGGACTCAGGCTATCGTCTCTGTGTGTTTAATGCCATCATTACAATTATTCTTCCCTCTTGACTGAATAATTAATGTGGTTTCCTGGTGCAAAAGCAACTGCTTATAGTTTGTATTTAATAGCTTGATCCCACTGTGTACAATGTAAGTACAGTAGTTCTTATGAAAGATTTTTTGGTTTATGTTTTTTTCCTTCTTTTCTCTTTTAGAAAAACTCTCAGTAAAGAAGAAATGTTCTAAAGAGATATTCTCCTTCCTAGTATTAGGGAAGAATCAGACACAGTTTCTTTTCCTAATGTACCTGTGAGAACTTTTTAAACAATATGAAGAAAATTTCCCATTTTTACCTTTCAAATATATTAAGCTTATCTGGTCAGATCTGTGTATTAGAGATTCAGTGGACATGAGGGCATATACATCTCAGTGTCTCATCATTCATCTGTGTTTCCCTTTCATCATGAAGCCTCTTGAAGTATTTCATATATGCAGTAAACCTATAACTGATTGTTTATGGTCTTCTGCTGAAAGCAAATACGCTATCACTTTTGAGACATTTTAATTGTTAATTGTAGAGTTTGAAAAATATTTGTGAACCATATTCCCATCAAAAAAAAACCACCTCTGCTTTTTGGTTTTTTAATGTCATAAAATTATATGTGACGGCTATTTGCAAGGAGACTAACAACTTCAAATTCAAATTTCTATTTCATTCTTTGCTTATAAAACTTG